AACATTACATGCCTTTCTGAAGATAATAGGAAATTTCTAACAAAATATAGGTCTTGAATATGGATAATCCTTGCCAAATTTATATGTGTGAAGACCAATTTATTGGCTTAAACACAAATCAAATATATCTGTATAATGGTTAAAATTCCAGAAATGCTTTAAGACTTAAAATAAAGATGTCCCTGTATTCTCCCTAAACTCCTAATTTCTGTATTAAAATTTTGTCATATGTCATTCATTTTTTAGAAATTTGTATCAATTTCATCTGATACACAGTAAATATATTTAATGCAGATACTATGCTTTTTGTTTTGTTTGGTTTTTTGTTTTTCTTCTGGTACCAGGAATCGAACTCACAACCTTGTGCTTGCCAAGCAGGCGCTGTGCCGCTGAGCTAAATCCCCAGCCCCTTTTTTTATTGAGATGTTGTGTTTGCTATAGTTTTCTTTTTTTAGGAAAATGACTCAACTGGGAAAAATATTTTTCCTGGATAAATCATTCACCATAGATTTATTTTGGTAGGGTTATTTATTACAGTCTCTTGAGTTTGTTACAGTTACAGTTTGATTATTTCTACAAAAAAAATGCATGAATTTTTCCTACTGCCTCAGATTAAACCTGCTTCATCGGTGGGGGTAAACATGGTTTAAGTGCTTAACTCTTTCTGTAGCTCTATCTCTTCTACTTTTCTGAAACAAGTGTTGATGTCAGCAGCTGATTCCACAAGCCTGGTTCGCCTGAGTTCCTGATCCAGTTATAGACAGAGTAGGTTTTCTGCCCCACATTTTCATATGCCATATCTTCCTTCTGCTTTGTGAGGCTCAAACTGTGAAAGCTTTAGCCACTGGCTTTGCTCTGCTTGACCTTTTGTCCTTACTCACTTCCAGATGATCCTGCTGAGCTTCAGCAGATTTGGAAATCTTATCCTTGGGGCTGGGGATTTAGCTCAGCGGCAAAAGCGCCTGCCTGGCAAGCGCAAGGTCGTGAGTTTGGTTCCCGGTACCGGAGAAAAA